TTATATTTTATTTTATGTAGTAGTTTCTAATGCAATTAAAAACGAACTATTCTAAATGAGTTCCAAACAAAATGAATTGAAAACGTCTGTTGAATTCATTTAGTGTCACTTCAGTGCTCATTTGTTCTTCTAATCATCCTCTTTGTTAGCTGGATGGCTTCAATCACACCACAAATTTAATTTTTAGTGAAGTTAACCCATGAACTAATTGGCGATATTGATTACTGACCGAGATTTATAAAATTATTATTCCTTACCCACAAAAGTACCTGGTTGTTTCAAGCACAGCACAGATCGAAATCGTCGACCTCGTCAAAAATTATCATTTACCTTAACTTTGAGTTCACGCGAGAATGATTATATGCGTTAGCACTATTTTTTTGAATCTCATTGTTCACAACGGGCTTCATTCAGGTACTAGGTAAATTTAAATATTGTATACTGTTCTTCACTTTTCACTTTTGTACGTTCCAAAATATGAGGAGGGAGGGGGAACTGATTCATTTCAATATACAACTAAACATGATTCCTGTGTTTCAGACATTTATTCAATCAGTTAGGCAAACACTGAATAACAAGTAAAAAAATTGTGCAAAACTATGTACATATTATTTTGAAGGAAAAGACGCAAAATTCTAAGAATGAAGACATCTCTGTTAACCGGCAGTATTCAGTTTTTGTAAGTCGTTGTAGTATAAGAATTCATGCTGCGCAGAAAATAAAAAACTCAGGAGGTAGATCACTCCATCAGTTCACCAGAAAATCTTCAAAACTTCATTTTTTTTAAACATATGCTCCAAGTGTAAACAAATTTGAAGGATAGCTGCCAGACTAAATTTCCAGACAAATGGTTTATGTAAAGGAAAGCAAATAAAAAGACTCATAAAGGGAACTTTTGTCTGCACACATACTACGCGAATGGTTTTAGAAAAACATTTTCCAGACACTTCTAGATTTTCTAACACTAAAAATATCTAATACTGTAGTTAGATAAGAAAATTTTATCAGTAGTGAGAGAAATGCCCAATTATTGAACGCTACTGATATTTCGTGTGATATTTTTTTGTCGAAGCCTTGTGAATGAAAATCCTATCGGCAGCATGATTTTATCCTTAGGTTGAAAAGTGTAGGGCACAAGAAAATATGATAGAATCAAAACTAGATCATACTTTAGGCCAAAAATACCGAGACTACAAGCCAAAAGTTTTTTGATCGAAAGAAAGTCTACTAAGAATTAGCAATGCACATTTGAAAATGACAAGTACCCTGTCGACACATAGCGCCATATCATAAACCAGTTATCCATGCAGTTATTCTAGCATTTCATAAAGTAGGTAATTACTGAATAAGGTAGATGTTGGGATGATGTGCCTCAAGGCCTCAGCTATAAGTTGACCATGATTTCTCTTATCACCTAATGACCTCTAACTAAACAGAAAATACTCTATGGCACTGATACATAAGAGCCACTATACTTAGGAATGATAATAGATTCTTATATTGTTTATTATTATAAGTTCACTAAGATGAAATATACTTAACTTTGCAAAACGAAGTGTAATACAACGACACCTGTACTGCATATACTCTTTTCTGACTCTTCCTTTAGGACTGCCAGTGTCATTTTTATATGTTCATAAATTTTCGAACAGCTACAGGAATAAATAAACGAAATTTTAACATGCTTTTGGCAGTTTAACACCAAGAATAAGTTGTTGTACAAAATCGCGATAACATGGTAGGAATGGTTTAGACTTCTTTTTTAAATATCGACTTGTATAATAGCAGATTACATGAATGTCAATTTGCTGAAAGCCTATTTTTCCCAGAAAATGTAAATCCTGAAGCTAGAATAATTAGTCACCCGATGGCTATTAATGTGCCTATTGAGTCCTAAATCAGCCAATGATAAGTGTATAATTCTGTCTTTAATCTAATGAACACAGTATTACTCTACACCGTAGTGTGATTTTCATTTTGTCGCTCACTAACGCTCTACTAATCGTCCTTCAAATGGAAAGGACTTAACGGAATATAAAACTACATCGAAGCAACTGAATAGAGAAGGGATTAGTGCGATTGAATAACCAATACAATTTCTGCGTAAATACAAAAACAAAGACAAACTGAGAAACTAATTATAGAATCTAATCAGTTTTATTACTCTACTACTTATTTGGATTGCTAAAATGTTTGATGCTGTTGTATTCTCTGATCTGGACAGCTTAATTGCAAAGCTTTCATTGACCATCTGGACAACATCTTCAAGGCTAATTTTAATGTGATTTTAGAATAATCCATAAATTTTCACTTAATTGAAAGTCTTACTGTTGAAATTCGCAACTGTACTATTTTTATCTTGGTTAATTCTAGGGACAGGTCAACTTCCGCACCTCCGAACAACCAAATAACTGTCACGTGAAATAACTTATCTGCACTTCGATTTTTAGCTGAATATACCAAAATGTACAAACAATAGTGAGGGTATATTATAGCGTATATTATATATATTGGTCAGAAGTAATTAAAAAAACAACATTTTTCCGTCTTCAGAAGTTCTTTCTGATTGTGGTAATTAGACGTTCGCAGATGTTCATTGCAATTCAATAGATAATTAATATCCTGATAGCTGTAACATTTTATATGATATCATATGATTCCACCTCATAAAGTCAACATTATTTCGTTCACTCTCATTTTTTCTGTCAGTTCACATGACTGAAGATTAACTGACTGCGCAAGTTTCATCAAAGGAATATATATATATATATATATATATGAGTGGGACAGCACCAAATGTTCAACAATAGGCTCCTAAAACATCATAGGTAAAATGAAATTTGATTTCAGTTATGATAGTATGAGTTGGTTTAGCTTGTCTATACACAAATACAATAATTTGTTTGCACCAGTACATAAACTGAAGTCGAATGTTTTTTAAGACAAAATTCGTTAAAAAGTCACATGGAAGATGTATCGACTACCTATTTGTACTAAATATCATCCCTTCTGTTTCTCTAATTCAGAAGGGATTGTAGTTCAAAGCAATTTGAAGCATATTAATAACAATGTGTTTCTTTACTAAGCATTCCTTTTCCAACGTCGATGTTAAAATTTTCAATCAACTTTGTAGCGTTTAAATATCATATGACTTATTTTTATGACCTCATATTATACAAACTAGTTCGCACATGCTTCACGATAAAACCCTGTGAAGCATCCAAACGGCATCCCATCAAGAATAAATTACCGGAAATTTTAAATGTTGAGCATTCCATTTCTAAAGCTAAAAGTAACCATGTTGATTATACGTAAAATCCCAAAGATATGGTTATGTAGAATTCTTGTGAAAAGTGATATGACCGTTGGACTTCAGTTATACTCAAACGAATTTAAACTTACAATGATTTGAGAGTCTTTGTAACAACTAGACACTTGATGAATGAATGAATCAGGCGTTTTTTCAAGTGCTTTCCAATAGAGTTTTTATCTTATATGAGTTCATGTGTTGTTTGGTTGGAGGATTTCATCATTAACTGACGTCAGTTAGAGAACCATTGGAATACTTGGAAGTACTGGACAACTGTTTCGTCCAAGTCTTGGACTCTTCAACAGTGTCCACCCACCGGGGTTCGAACTCGGAACCTTCTGGTTACAAGGTAAGTGTTCACGCTATGTCAGGTATTGGTAGAAGTTAGAATTCATGGGCTGTTGGATCGGGTCCCAGTGGCTAAATGGTCTACGAGCTCGCCTTGTAACCAGAAGGTTCTGGGTTCGAACCCTGGCGGTGGGCGCGTACTGATGAAGAGTCCTAAACTAGGACGAAACAGATTTCCAATAATCCTTATTGGTTTTCCAATGGTTCTCTGACTGATTTAAGCTCATGATAAAGTCCTCCAACCAGTCAAAAAAAATTCAATACAAAACTAACACTTGAAAATCATGTGTTGTTTATCAATAAAATAGAACTAAGTAGGAGGTGGTAGGTAGTCTGAAGACACTTTTTATCGTCAGCTAGTCAATTTGTCGGTAGTCTGGCGACACCAGTGGTACTGATCCCAGACAATGAGGTGCACTATTTAATACAAGATAAATTATATCAAACACAATCATCATGATCTATTTGCCCTGGCATGTACAAATAACAGTTTAATTTAAGGTCATACAATACATCAGTGGATATGAAAAGCTATGAAAAATATTCAGTAAAAAAGTTCTTTTATAATTTCATCTTTCCGAAATCTACTATTTCACATATCGACTTTCCCAATAATGTCTGAATTCATTTAATATAGGGGCTAATGAAGGTTCTTCAGTAAACTGTGGTAAATAATTCTACAAAAATAAGACTCTAAGCCAAACCATCAATCTTACGGCTGTTAACCTGAAATTCTTCAGATTAAGATATGAGGTTGGACTGATAACTCGTTATCAATGTCTATTCAAGCAGTCACGTGAATGAATGACTTATCGCTGTTAAAATAACTATTTTTTTGAAGTAACTTCAAGCCTAAATTCCTTCCTTACTCACTGAACTCTACTTCCAGTAATTAATCCATTAGTATCACGATTAACGTGTTTCTTTAATGGCCTTCAGTTTCTTTTTCTCCATCTTTTTATGAACACCTGGCAACTTTGCTTATCATCTGGTAACTACTTTGTCCCTATCAGATTTCAAATATCTTATTGATCCTTATGTAATTTCATTTTGCTACCTCTATTTCACCGAATAAATGGTACCAGTCTCCCTGTTATCTATTAATAGACTGTTCTCTGTTTCAGTAAACAGAAATACGATTGTATGGCTTCTGAAAAAATGACTTCGTTGACTCAGAAAGTCCCTTCTTTGTTAAATAACTAAACCCATAAAATCAATGAAACGTTACCTTTGAAGCAGACGAAATATCACGTGAAAGCCATGATAAATTGCATGAATCTAAGTAGAAGTTGCAGGGTTACAACCTATAGCAAATATGCCTAGCCGCTTAAATTCCTTAAATCCGAATAGTTGTGATCATGCAGTGAAATGAAGTGGTAGGCAATGAATGAAGAAAGCTTGCAGTTGTAGCTATAATTCGGCTATTCACAAACATTTTCGCACACACTTAAGCAGTCATTTCTGTAATTGTGCTTATCTGGTTCATACACTTCAGTTTTCTGAGATCCACCAACCTTTTTAGGTATTTTCTGTTCTCAGATTTGAGTTAACGGACTAAAATTATTGACTGAGTATTCACTTAACATATTTTAAAGTTTGATAACTTCTAACCCTGTTTTACAATAGTTTTCTATAACAGTCAGTACAGCTGAAGTTTGCAACGATTTAGCAGGTACCAACTGTGTTACTTCGTCAAGTTATTTCACTTCTTAACACGTATTCTGTTCACGAGCTCAGAGAAACACATATTTCGAATGCTTTCACTTTAACCATGACTTTTCTTATTCAGTCAAAAATACTCAGGTTACAACTTAAAAATAATCACGACCACACAGTTTTTCAGAGATACCAAAGAGTCGTCAAATGATATCATGGCGTTTATATATCAAAGATAAAATTGTCAGAAACCAATGTAAGAATCGGCCTGTAACAACAATAATATTAACTTGCATTGGATGACGCTTAAAATTGAACTTCGTTACTCTCTTCGAAAATAATAACATATAAAACAATCAAAAATCAATCGATGAAAACAGAAAAAGAGAGAGTAAATTTTGAAGTACAAAAACGAAAATTAGTAAACAGGATAGTGTTTACTCATTGACATTTTACATTTCATTTTTTGCGAAACTATCGAAATTTCCTGTGGCAAATACATATATATATATATATTTATATACGTATCACAACTGTTAAGATATAGTAAAATCGAAAAGAGAATATTATCCATAGTACCTATCAATCAGTATAATGAAAACTGTCTATTCATTGCTCGGTAGTTCAAATTCCACTTTACCAACTTTCTCTTTTCGCAAATGTTATTTAAAAACAAATTTTCCTATCATGAAAATGATGACGGTGATGATCTTGAAAAGTGAATAATTAGTCGTATCATTTAGAAAAAATTTATTCTCAAATTTCTTTGTAATGAAGTGTATAACTTAGGCATGAAAGACAGCTGCACAACAAGGTGAAGAGAAAATGCATGAATACAATGACCAAAACGATACACATACTGTATAAGAAGAGTAGAAATAAACTTAAGAATAGTACGTAAATATTCATGAAAAATACAAATGTAATATTCATATGTATGCACTCGAATATCTTCTACATCACTTTGTATGAAAAAAACGAATGAATGGAATTTTCTTTTGGAATTCTCATGTTTGAGTTTCATTACAGGAAATTTATTAAAATGAGTTACTCGGTGAAATGGTGATTATTTTTTCCAATATAAGTGTACATATTTATATATACTTTCATTTGAAATCTTGAGAATACCCACACCCTGAGAATGTTGACCCCATCGCAAGTGATATTGTTCTTAGTGAGATGAAGGTGAGGCTGATCGGTTGGAACGAGATCTACTGGATGATGAGAACTGATCTGGTGTTTGGGCTCTAACAGGCTGAGTTAGTTTATCTGCAGCAGTGGAATCTTGGTTTTTCTCTTGATTGAAATCATGACTTGCTGCTAAAAATGCTGAAATTAGTGTAGCTGCACTGAGTTTGGCTGCCATTTCTGAAGGGAGTTGAATTCCACATGTAGATGAACAGGAAGAATGACACGATGAACCAGTAGTACCGTCTGTAGCAACATTCAAAAATGAAGCATCCGTTGCACCACTTTCAATTGTACTACAGCTTAACAAACTACTAGCAGTAGTTGAAACACTAGCGTGACTAAGACTTCGGCTTCGGCTAGGATGTCGTCGAAGTCGTGTCCAGTCAGTCACTCTCAAACGAGCAGCTTCTATTTCAGCTTCCAACTGGCCTAGATTAGTACGAATTTGACGATAGGTCTCAACAAGGTATTGTTGCTGATCAATCCATCTACCATGTGGTGTGGTACCAATGGTAGATCCAGTATTTCTGTCCATAACGATTCCTGGCATCTAGAAATGTATACAGAAGGTAAAAATGTTTAAGGAAAAAGCAAAAAGCAAAAATAGTGCATTCGAAACCATGAAGAACACGTCTTCCTTATTTAATTACGAAATAACAGTCGTTTTAAGCAAGTAACGCCAACGTAATATAACACAGCCTAATTCTCCAGTTCAGTCTTTGTGAAGTGGAACAAATTCATTTTATTTTATAAAACTTTCTCACTCTGGCTTTTTCTAAGACTATTTGAAAGACGAGACTATTATATAAATGGATAGAAACTGTTGGGTATAAATAAACCTTACTTCAGCGGTCCGGCTGAAAGTTAATTAATAATCATTAATAAAATAATATTTTGTTTTAATTCAAACGGTTTTCATAACTCACATCATCATGATGTCTTGTTACCAGACTGAAATGTAGGTGTAAAAGGGTAACTTTGTGAATAAACTTTCGGTACAATGTAAAGATATTAGGTGCCTTCAGTGAGTCATCCTGTTTTTAAACACCAAGTCACAAGGTATATAGTTTACGGCAATGAAATGTACAAAGTTATACTTTAAAACATTTTTCACTAACATAGATTTTTCAGATAGATCTAGATGTAAATTATATTTAGCACTACCGATGAAAATATCGTGATACGGGTATAAAAAAGTTCGTAACGTGATTTAAGGTGACTCAAAAATATTAACGCAGTTAACGCGGGTTGTGTGCAATGATGTAAGTGCATTTTTAAGCTTTCAGAAAGTGTTAAATAACTAATATCTTTGTGACGAGGTCTAGACATAATGGAAACATCAGGCTAGCAATCTAACGACTAAGACAGGAGAACAAGGTTTTTTAGCTGTAAGCTGGAGATCATTGAAAACTCCCTACAATATATAAGTTTGAAAAGTTAAGAATGTTTCTTCTTTTGCTGCATCGAAAATAAAAGGTTGCATTCATTTGGCAATTTCGAAAAAGACCACTTGAAATTTCTAAAAATTATGACTATCTTTATGCTTAAGCGAAACCATTAATAACTGCTTCTTACGGTTATAACTCGAGCAATACTTCAATAGCATTCTTAAGAGAGAACATCATACTGCGTATATAAATGCTTGAGTTGACCATACCCTCTCACAGTCGATTACTGTCACGAGGTAGCTACTCGATATGCTATAAGTGACTAGTTTTTACGTTGACTAGAATCATGATACACAGTTAATGAGCTCACAGCCTCTATAAAGTCCGCAAACTATTCTTTGCTGTCTACTGAAGCATGTCATATTCCATTGACTGATGATATACTCCTTTACTGCATACAATAGTTGCAAGGAGAAACAATCGAGGAATTTTATGTACTTCAGTTTCACCAGTGAGATTATTCGTTCAAAAGCCTTCTGGGGTGCAAAAGCAGTGAATTTATAGTGGGTGGGATAATAACAGTTGATAAATTAATTTAGCATAATTGTGACATGCATGATAATTATTTCATTCTTATGATTATGCGCCTTATATTACAAAAAATCACTATGCGCACACCTAGAATTAGGGTTAGCATATTTCAGACACCTTAAAATACTAGACTATAAATCGAATTTCGGGCTTGTGAGTAGTTGATTTTATTGCAGTCAGATTTTCTCACAAACGGAAATTAGTTAAAGAACCTGTGATATGAGGGAGCGCTGAACAAATGTCTCATAATCCTCATAGTGAACCTCACTGGTAGCGATTTTATCATTCAAGACTTAGGAAGACCATCTCGAACTTATTCCATTAATGAATCATAGATTATAATTAAGACATTACTTTCAAGATAGATTTTGTCGTGAACCGATATCAGTTACCTGAAAGCCTTTTATCGTTTCTAAGATGAAATTTTAGCGGCTTAAATGGTTAACCAAATGGCCAGTAAAGCAAGAGGTAAAAATACACATGGAAAAAGTTTTGGGAATAGTTGCAATATGCTGATGATTGTAGTAAATAAATGAGTGAAAAGGTGAACTTACAATTTGCTGCTCTTTTTCAAGTTATCCTATTACTGACACTGAAACTTGCCTTTTTCGAATTCACTTACTGTACTTACTGTAATATCATGAGGGTAATATGCATGACACTGGGATTCATTACGCTTGTATTACTGTATGCATCAGTAAAACAACTTTCATGAACCCTAATAATTTTATACAAATATCAGTTTGAGTCTACAGTATTTTATAGTAGATGTAGTTTTCAAAAGGTGTGACTTCATATGAATATAAGATAAAGACAGGATCACCTCAATTTATTACAAATACACTTGATAGTGATAACACAAAAAAGGATGTAGAATCTAATTTCATCATCTGACTTTGTGTATCAAATTATCCTATCCCATTGAAAGTTCAGAAATAAATTCGGAAATCACACGTTTGTACCACTCTCTCATCTCACATGGACCCGATGATCTGTAGGCTGATTTCGATCAGTAGCTTTACAGTTAATTCATTATTCCTATATGATATAAGATTATTTCTAATAAATCTTATTAAGTGTACAGTCCATATATTCTGCAAAGAATAATTATGCCTGAAGGTAGCTAGGTAGCTATTAACGAATTTCTGAAACAATGTTACCGAAATAAACTTTTAGCATACATTTCAAAGATAAAAACTTAATATAAGCATTAAACAGCTTTTTACTTTTTATTTCTTTCCCAGTTTATCAACAGAGGTATGTGAAAAAAGTTAAAACAGGCGTGTCTAACCTTGTACTTCTGATGTTCTGGGTTCTTAATTCACTGTTTATTATCATGCTGTCATTCTTCTGAAGTATGAGAAGTATTGAGAAACTAGGGAAAATTCTGACGCTACTCTTTTCTACTAAAATCTCATGTTTTCTTGTCTTGTTATGTTCTTCTTACGCCTTTCCACCTAATTTTAAAACTTTATCACCATTATTATTATTTGTCAGTCCCTGGATTAACACTAAGCTTATCTTGTTGATACTAGTGCACCGTGATGGCGAGCCACGTAGAATGGTGGCCACATTGCCAACGTGACTGAGAGAATTCAGTCTGCAAAAAAACAAAGGACTAGACACACTACACTAGTTACTGACTAGTGTCCAATCAAAAGCTTATCTTGTCTTCATTAGTTGAGCGCAGTTCACTGCATAACCACTATATCATATAGCCATTATCATTGTTGTCACTCTACATTTGTTTTCTTATATTTTTGTAGTATCAATATTTTTCTCACATCACTAAATACAACTCATCCTTGAAAATTATGTTATACAAACCATAACAGATGACTCAATTATTTATTCACATTTTATCTTCTGTTTTCACTGACTGTTCGTTTAGTATACTACATTCAATTAACAATCTTAACCAACGGATAATTATAATTCCAACCTGATATAATTTTGATTCGCTCATACTGACAATTGTATTCAAGTGTTCATGAATTTATAACACTGTATAGTCTAAAGAAGAAGTTATTGAAAGCGAATTGTTTGCCTGAAATTTCTATTTTATTCTGAACACACCGAGGGAATGTTGAAATGACTAAAATTGATGTTTCTAAACAAGTAGCTCTAAGTACTAGAGTTAATCTACAAGTTTGTATTTTAATTATCATCATAAATTACATGCAACATGTAGGTTTACTCATTTAATGATGACAATTAGTTCACTCCCTTAGAAACACTGGAGAACATCAATGAATTCACTACTGATTCTTTAAAAAAGTCAAATATAAAAGAAACACAAAAAAGGTGCATTCAAACGTTTTGTGCCAGTCGTATTGATGTAGAACAGGTTCCAATAAACTAGTGATAAACACTAGACATTGCTGAAAATAAAGTACTCATTATATATCAAAGAAAAATTTTATATCAGGCTGAATATTGGAAAAAAAATGCTCGAAAATGATCAAGTCTTAGAGTCTAATAAATTATCATGATCCCCATTCCAAGCTACAAATCTCTATTGTTCTAATAATATAGAGATTATGTACACTAAGGAATGCCATTTACATAGCTTAAAATTCCAATACTACACAAAGAATCTGGTAATCCTGGTCACTGAAAATTGTCTCAGATAGTCAAAATAAATCTTACAATAGACGGATAAAGTTTCAAAAGATATCGACTATGGCAAAATCTGCTGAAACAGAGTACTTAGAGTTGTTAATGAACTGTCGAAGCAAGGTCAAATCAGAAGAAAGTTAATACAATAGTTATACATTATTGAGGTCTTTTGTTGCCATTAAATCTTTTTGACTACTTTTGCTCACTACAACTAAAGACATAAAACAGACGGTTGCAAGTAAAGAATTAACATTATTCTCTTAAAGAGATCAATCGTACTTCACAACAATTTAAGGATAACCCAAACACTACTGTACGAAAGTTGATTTTCGGAGAATACACTACTGAATAATTCTAATTCTACGAATAATAACAACTCTACAATTATTCCAGTTTACTTTATGGGAAGGGAATAAGTAGGGAAATAATAATAAAGAACAACCAACCGCATTCAACATGCCTAGGCTGAAACCAATTTCAAACAGAATTTATAGAGGTGCAGTGCTTCCGTGAATCAAATTAAAGGCTAAAATATTTCATGAGTGATGACCTAAAGAGAAATGAGAAACTGAGTTACTGAAGGATTCACACGACCAGTCTGCAAACTACAAGACCGGCACTCAAGGCTGATGTAGCCATGAGAATCTGATGCTAAACACTTCATCATTTTTATTCAGTCATCACGATTATCCAAAGTCAATCCGGACAATTTCATTATCAGTTAGTTAAAATATTTTATGAAAACTTAACATTAAAATCTGCAAATTTCAGAAACTTACTTTAGTGAAAGAAACTGTTGCGCCTTACGAGTGAAGACCTGTCATACGATAGTATATACTTATAAGCTTCATAACTAGGGCAGAGTCAGCTGGATAACAAATTTGAAGGTGACATATACTATCGATCTCTTTTGTAATATTCTAACTATCAACCTATTGCACTGTTGCAGACAGTAGAAAAGACCTTGACGATCCAATAGCAAAACTCTTACTGTGCCTATTGAGGCATTAAGATCATTGGTTTATTATTTCCCAATCTGTCGGTTTAAAAAACACCAGCCTAACCATAATAAAGAATATTGCGAACATGTCAGTAAACTAATAGTCTGAAGCACAATTTAACCATCAATAACAGTTTTTAAGAATTAGGCTAGAAGTCCGAATAGGCTTTTCTTTGTGTAGTATGATTTTTCTAACCCATTAAGTGCCACTAATATGTCAACAAATATCTTTTGTTTTGAGAATTTTTTTATAAGATAATGTTCAACATTTCAAGGGATAGGAAACATTTATTGCCCGATACGAATCTAAAACAAGCAACAAATGTTAATAAACCAGGATTTAATGAATTCATGAAACTTCGATAGAACCCTTTAGCTGGATATTATCAGTCAGTGGAAGAACTTGAGTATACCGAGAATTGCTAACTAAATAATATTGATAATATTAGTAATGCTAATAATAGTAACAATGTTAACAATAGTCGACAGTAATCTTATAACGAATTAAGCTTATGGTAATGATAGCTAATTGTTTATTTAATTCATGTAATTGAACCGTAAAGCATTTTATCTTAGTTTTATATCACTGTATGTAGAGTATTCAGATGTAGAGTTCGACAAAAATTTGATGAATTCATTAAATTCTGCTTCATTAACTTTTGTTGCTTGTTTTAAACTTCAACGGATTATTAGTTTTAATGCTACTGTGAAACGGTTGTTTGAAGGAGAATTTCAAGACCAACCAATATCAGTTGGACAACCAGAACCACTGAGTAACTGTTTCTTTGATATCGTCGAACCCTCAGCAGTGCATATCAGCAGTCTTGCCAGGGGTGAGACTCAGTATCTTCAGGACACGAGACTAGTGCATTACCACTCAGCTACCACATCGGAATCCAATAGCTCATGTATTCTGATACTTTGTAACGTAGGCATCACGGCCATTCAGTGTTTATTTGCTCTCATCCTAATTAAGATGTTTTGTACCTGCATTCCAAAATGTTGATAAAAATCTCAGAGATAACTTACCAGGACAGACAGCTCCAACGTATCAGTGTGGTTAATAAAAACGAGTATTGGCTGTTTGGTTTAGCTAACCTGTATTTCAACGTGCTTCACCTAACATTTCAAGAGTCTTCATAGATTTTTATCTGTGGTACAATGCACCCTACAGAGCTTGCTGGATCCTACTGCGAATGACTCACTAGCTAGGACAGTTTCCGTCTATTGGAAGATGCAGCTGATGGCTCCATCTCAGTGCCATATTTTGACCATCAGGCTTGATCAATGTTAGGAATTATTCGTAAGAAATTCTTACAGACAACTGTATTCGGTAACCTGTGAGTGTATCTGGTGCTCGTATATATTTTTTGGATGATAAGAAGTTAGTCTTCAATTTAACTTGGTCGCACATGTGTGGCAGTAGTAGGTATCTCCAATTTATATGCTTCAATCTTTTAAGGATAACTTTTATGATGACCACCGTTCGCATGTATGTAAAGATGACGCAAACACAGTACTTATCTAGCAAACTGTTGTTATTAGGAATGCAGTCGAATAATAAAGCTTCAGTTCTAGTGCCCATTGAGACACTGAAACTAGCTAATCTGAAACTTCATCCTACCGGTTGCTCCAGTGATTCAGGGTAGTGGATGAAGATGTCAGACAGTGCGCTTCATCGTTATTTCCTTCGGTGGTCCTTAGGACGCAATACAAATCAGGGGCTATTTTTTCTAGAGTTATGTTCTAGGCAGCCTGTTGTTTAATTTCCTTGAAAGTGCCAGCTATGTACACGGTAAACTTGAAAGCGATACACAGTGTTGAGTTAGATATCGCAGTGAGGGTAGGTTTTTCGGAACAAAAGTTTAGTAAGTAGGTCAATTCAAACAGACAAAACAGGAGCAAAACAAAACAGCTAATTTATAAGAGTAAAAATAACTGTATTATGATAAGGAATTATGTATTTACATTTATCGGTTCTTATCAAAAGGCTAAAAATCTTTGCTTCAATATGTCTTTATTATTCGGATAAGTAGGTGAGTCTTTTAGAGTTGTGTAGACTGCCTGGGTCCTCTGGACTCTATGAACCAACACGTGCGAACTGTTGGTGAAACAGCCTAAAGTAGTGCTTATTTGCGCAATTGGATTTGCTCTTTGTGTTCTCTTCAGTCCTTGGTAATATTAGATGGTTGGAAGCAATCGGCATGAAGCCTTGGACCTAGGTTTTGTGCCAGTTCGCACTCGTCAACAAGGCGTATCTGCAACATTGAAGAAACTCATGTTTTTCCTGAGATTCGAACCCGCGTCGCCCAGTGATTCAGTCAGAGACGTAACCACTGAGCTATTCGGGTTCGCGATTGACCTCCTTCCTGTGGGACAGTATTGGATACTTTGATTGGACACTAGTAACTAGTGTTATGCGTCTAGTCCTTTCTTTGATGCAGACTGAATTCTATCAGTCAGGTTTGCCATGTGGTCACCATTCTACGTAGTTCGCCATCACGGTGCACACCGATTTGATGATATTAGATGGTTGGAGGTAGTCGACAGGAAGCCTTGGACTGATAGAATTCAGTCTGCACTAAAGAAAGGACTAGACACATCACAGAAGTTACTAGTGTCCAACCAAAGTATCTCTTCAGTCTATTAAATTCTCATTATTCTCAATGTAATTATCCTTTCTCCTGTACATTTTTGTGTTTTATGGTTTCTTTACATCTTTATTCTTTACGATTATGTGCATCAACTACTGAACTTTGTGTGAAGTTCTATGCTGGAAATTCAGTACACTTCACTATTTGTCGTTTAACTGATTTAGGCCTTTACCATCTTCTCCAATCTTCTCGCAATTCCATAGCATTTATGAACATTTTGTAACATTTGCCTCATACACTGTTTAACATGTTCATGTGGAGTCCGTGAAAAAAAAGCACTGCACCCGTCGATTAAATATTTCACCTATTCAGTTGAAAATTTCCAGTGGAATTTGTGGAGTCATTGAATGAGTTTTTTTCTACATGCGGCACCTGTTTTAAGTCTAGTTGAAGTAATTGATAATTTTCGTTTAAGTTAGACTCTATCTATTTACTTCTCACCATATAACCTTCTTTTTTAAAGTTCTTGCTGTGCATATTGCAGCCAGTCTAAAATATCTGTTATCATGAAATATTAATTTTGCTATATTCACTTGTTCTCTTTTGCTAGTATTCTTGAGTACAGAATATGTTCAAGTGAAGAATTATTTGAAAGGACAGGAAAGATTTGTAGCTCAGATGAGTGATTCAAATACATCCATTTCTACAACCCCATATAATCGGGAAAAAGATTAAAACATTGGAATGTCTAGTTCGTAAACAGACATTAAATGTCTATCAATCGTCTGAGCTGCCGGATCAATAGTGATTAATTTAAACTACGCATTATGCACATATTACTATACATTATTATTTATCGTGTAGAACTGACCTGTTACTGCATTATGCCAATAAATCCTATATCGTGCATAGTATTTAATGTGATAATAGGCAGTGGATATATTATTTATTGTATGACTTGGTTATATTGGCATTTAAAATATGATATTAAAGTTAAGACAAGAACTGAAACGGAGAAAATGTTATTTTACGGTGGAACGAAGATTTTTCGCAACACATTTACACTTGGTATAGCCATGTCAGAATTATTTAGTTTAGCGTTATTTAATGAAATTCTGGTGACAGACGGCTTGCATATAATACTGAATTATGTTTACCGTATACTATCATTATTGATATGTGGTGTCCTGTGGAATCATTTGCGTACCTTGGGATTTCGTACATTTGACGAATATGTAACTAAACGATTTGATAGTAGAGTATTAACTTCCTTCTATAGAGTTAATCAAGTTGCTGGAATTATTTATTATTGGAGAGTACAATTCAATATGGTTGAGGGATTGGATTTATTTCAAATAAGATCGTGGTTAGGATACTTATATTTAACCGTATGCATTACAACATTCACATCTATCGGTGGTTTACATTACATATTAGTATTAACTAGTATTCTATGGTTAATTGAAATTAGTGGTCACATTGTCCTTCTGAAATGTGGGAAAATTGATATGCGAGAATTGAATAATGTATTCAGCTTCGCAGTGGATCCCTGCAAACTTCTTTTTGGACCACAGTATCTTTTGGTTTTTTTGAGTCAGCTATTAACTATCCAACCAGGTTTTATAATATTTCAATCAGCTGATACAGTTAAACAGTCAAACTTAGTTATTATAATTGCAATGGGTTTATTAACATTAGACACAATGCTATGTTTCTTTAATTCAGGCAATATACGCTGGTATATGCAAACGAGAAATATTTCGTATGTGCGTAGTTTAGAAGAAATTTTTATGGATTCAACAGATGTGACAGAATCACCAATAATATCGATGACTACAAATGAGATAATAAAGGGGAATGCAATGTCAACTATAGCCAGTACTACATCAGTAATTGGGTCGTTAACAACTGCAGCAATGGTAATTATGGGACAGATTACATCATTGGCAAACTCTCCCACCACCCCCAGCAGCATTAGTGAAATTCCAGCATTACAAACGAATGTACCGTCATCTCCAAAGGCTGCGACAACAGTAACAGAAACAACAAAAGAAGGGAATAAAGCAAAAGGATCAATGGCGACGTCTGAACAAAGAGTATCGTTATTCAAAACAGTGCATACAACTAGCGAACGTAAGATATTTAATAGTTTTTTGCATTATATTGTGATAACTGGAGTACACATTGCTAACATTATAACGTCGATAGTTTTACATGCACATTCGATCACTGAGTTAAGTATTCAAAATATGTTACCTAATTGGTTAAGAATAGGTTTAATTTCAAATGGTCGAGAATTTCATTTGGTGTACACAAGTTTTTACATTATATTTACTTACATGATAATTGTGATGAATATATACTCTACAAGTTATCCGGATATCGTTCCTATAAAATATGGTTATATTTATCCGGTGTCACTTTGGATGATATTAACAATGCCGGTGGTGTGTTTCATTCTATTAGGTGTATTTATTGTTGATATTTGGTCAATACCTGCTGTACTAGCAACACTGGCAGCGTTAGCAATTAGTATATTATACTTATTAGAATCTGATTCTAGCAATTCATGCTTTAATGCTTGGTTTTTAACTTTTATGTTTTTCTTTTGTGTGTTACTTACAATAATATTTTCAGTAGTTTTAAAACCACCAAGATATTTTGTTCATGGCTTAGTGTTTAAATATCATATAACACTTAGACGACGTGTTGAAAACCTATTATCAGTTTCACTAGGTCCTACAACAAGTGTATTTGCAGCAAGGAAATCTCAGGTTAGAAGACCAAGTCTGAAATTCGTTGCGAAAAATTAACTTTATGAATTGATATGTTACAAAGAAAATGATATTGATATATATATTTTTGATGATTGAAATGCTCTTTCAAACTTCTCTAGTTTTCCTGTTGTGTGTTTAACATGATAAACTTGTTAAAAAGTTATTTGCTTAAATAAACTTAATAGTTTCAATCCTGGTGCGTTTTACATCAATCAGCCTTATATAAATTAGGCGATAGTAGTAAAGAAGAAAAGATGTTAAATTTACTTTACATTTAATATCGTTTATTTAAAAAAAATCAAATAATAAGGTAGCAGTTGCTTTGAAAGAAACAAAAGCATTATAACCTAATGAATGACGATTATTCGAAGGGTCCGCATAATTACGTCTTTAGATAAAGCATAAAATACAAGTAGAATTCCAGAAACGATAAGGGAATACAGCTTTCGTATGAGATGAAAAGAACCAGTTTTCTGTGTGCCATCTCATAAAAAACGACATTACCTACACTGTGGATAATAAATTTACCAACATCCCCACCCGTGTTCATTGTTACTCTTCTGGTTCACCCTTATTTAATAATAAACGTTGATGAGGTTATTATTCAAGAGAAAGTATGTGGTGAGGCAAAAGTATGGATCAGTTTCATGCATGAAAATAGTGAGATTGACGAATTTAAGGTGTGAAGGGCGGGAAAACTGTTTACGCCCACATCTGATTGCTTAAGGTCTCGGAGACGGAAGACGTCCAAAGCGGTGACCTGCTATCGTTAGTTAAACAGAAAACAACCATTTAGAGTAAATGGAAATCGGTTTGAGACTGTGCGGGGCATTATTATAAGAGTCCTTGAGGCACACAGATTATATGTCAGTAATAAAAAAACCTAATCTATTGGTAGTAGTAATATGTTGCTGTGACACAAAACAGGAATCGGAGAGATTGAACATTTACCTGATAAAACATGTGCAGATCATTTCAACGAAGAATATTCTACTATCATTTAGGGAGTAACCTCAACGCGACAGTACTAACACTGCGAAAATTGCTATTCAATCTAAAAATTGTTTGAATGGCAATAAAGAGCTTTTCAATGACTAGCAGATAATATTAATACTACCTATAATTGGTAAACTATTCACACTGTCCACTGATGCAAGTGATCGAGGAGTAAATTCAGTTTTGAAATTATATGGAGTTGTTGAGTATCGCAACAGAGTTCCAACAAACACAGACCAGAGGTATTCAAGAGTTCAACAGAAATGCTCAGTGATACATTTGGCGCCACATAAATAAAGATCTAGTCTGCTCAATCAGCGGTTTCATATCGAAACTGGTACATATCCTAATAAATGAAAACTCTGAGAGACTCATTCTGTAAATTGTCACTGTCGTTGCAAAAGTGTGTAAGAATACTACTTAATGACTAAACATTTTATTGAGACCGAAATTACTCCATGTTGTCCAGTGATTCGTGCTGCGACAGAGAATAATTGTCCACTGAAGAAGTGGAGGGGGGCAGTATTAAAACACTGTTTTCTTATCCAGAAAATGACAATGAATTCATATTTTCAGCTAATGGATAGTTTGGAGTGATAGCTGCAGATACACAGTAAAGCTCAGTGGAACCAAGAAAATTGAAGGATGCATGGGTAAAACTGATCACTCAGAAACGTTTGACATAAACAGAATGTTGACGCTGAGAAATCCCAGTATTAAATTCAGAAAATGGAAGTGCACCAGTTAGGTCGAGATAGGCTTATGAGAGGTCCTTCCAAAGTGCAAAGGGTCATACATTTTAATCAAGAAACAGGGACACATTTACACCATCAGAAGTAGAGAAAAATAAACGTATAAAAAGTGCTCTATTTCAGAAAGGAATACAGGGGGACAAAACAGCTGAACTGAAGACACAAAAGCAGATAAAATCAATAATCTTGATGTGGTTGCAGATTAGACAGATATCATATGATGGAATTAAAACAATCACGTTTAAAAGCCAACCTCTAAATCTCCGTGATAAATATTAAAAAGTTTACAGGTTCCAATCCGACTTATTGGTTTTTCACAGAGGAATTTGAAGTAATTTTTCACCAGAGAAGCGTGCAATATTTGAGTTTTAAACTGAACAACAAAAAATATATGTATATTTTATTTGGAACTGTTATTTCGAACTAACGAGCAGGATGATAATTAGCGTGCAAAATGTAGAGAAATAGTAACTGTTTTTATGAATTTGCACCCAGTTTGGGAATAGGTGTATTCACTCTTAAGACGAACATTTTAGAAGTGTGATGAGTTAACTAAGTTTAAAAGATGGATCGCCATTTATTCATTACTTTTAACTGAAAGAAGCAATCTCAGGTTCTATTTCATTCAAAGATTTAGGAGATCACTTTGAAAGAGTCCCAGACTAGGACAAAATAGACGTTTATTATTCATGGTGAAATATAATCTGAAAATTTCAGGTGCATTTTATTGAGAACAATCATTTTGGTGTGAAGACTGTAAAGTTCGAATAATATAAAATGTTTCCACATATTTCGGTAACAGAAGTTTACGAACGCAAATGTTCACATTTCAGTCCTACTTAGAAGTCCCATTTTAGCTTAAACTTATCTTGTGAACTTTGCTGCTACTCACTATCAAATGCTTTAAGTATTTTGTGAAAGTCAATTAATTTATAAAAGCTTCATATTTCAAAAATAAGGTGTAGTAGTACATCTACAAATCGGAGGTAAGACGTTACTATATAAGCCGAAATATTCAAATTTTCCACTTACAAATAACACGGGTTCGTATTAGTAATATATTTGATGAATGGTTTTCAGAAAATACAGAATGTTGGAAAGTAATTTGCTACTTAAATATACAATAAAAGTGAACCCATCAGAATAAGTCTTTAGTTCCCATTTTCCTAATTATTCTATCCTTAAAAAAAGGAGATGACTGGATGATTAGTGATGATCGTTTTACTGTTATTCTTTTAATAGCCCTATAACTCCTACTCCAGTGTATTACTCACCGGAACATGATCATGCAGTTATATGATGTTCTTAGTTTTTCGATTAATCTGAGTGATTTTGGGTAGGTTAAGACTTCGGTCAAGATTTTTGAATAATATCACAGCGAATATCTTCTGCTTCTGTGTAATGTAAGCAACTATAGCCAGTAAATGTGCGTCGGTGGCGTAGCGGTTAGGACGCTCGCCGACCATACACATGGCCCGGGGTTCGATCCCCGGCCGACGCACTCCTTTACCTCGCTGAGCCAGAAATAATGCTGGTGAAGAGGAAAGGTTGGGCATGTGGGTAGCAACCCCATCCTGTAAAATAAACACTGCTACAGAAACTTCAAGCCACTAGCTTGAAGCCCTATGTTCCACTGGGGAACGTGAAGGAAAAAAAAATAGCCAGTAAATGAAGTTAAAGTACACTGCCTGCACGTTCATCAGACAAAATAGCATGTGATACTTTGTCACTATAAACAAATGATAATGTCTGGTAAGGAAAAAGAAAGTTTTTGTGTATTTACTTTCCCGTGATTTATTCATTGTCTGCTTATGACGCGAACACGGGATAATGAAGACAATTAATCATTCGTATTATTACTTTAAATCCTTCGTAATCTATCATGCTGTTCTCCCTAACTGCCAACACTTTTATTACACAGGCCATCATTAAGTACATTATTTCCTACATAAAATTACTTATTTGTAACTCAGAGTGGGTAACCTGAAATAATTTGACGCTAAAGTAGTTCCAGTCATTGTATCTTTTGTTTGTGAAACTTTGTAATTCATTCTCGACAGACGTAGAGACTGTATGGTAAATTGGATAATTTTGACTTGGTGATAACTGGTAGGCGAATTGCAGAATGTCCACCCAATCCTGCCTGAAGAGCCTCTATCGGATTTCGCTGAATAGTAGTAACGACAAAATCTCTGACCAGTTTATAGATTCTACCAGCTAATGACTACTACATGCACATGTCCTCACTTTACTACCTCCTAATATTTATTTAACATGAGGTTTCAATGAAGTCAGAAAACACCTAGCCACCATGGCGAAATGAATTCCCTGATGCATCCTGTATAATTGTGGACAAAACATTTTCAGTCCATATTCAGTGACCATACTGTCATAATAGATAGAACTAGTGTTATATTCATAACTCACAAATAGTATAAATCCCATATATATATATGATCCGAAGTTCCTGTTTTGAGTGAGACACAGATTTTTATAGGAACACATCCATTCCACTCTGTTACCTGACATAATTTCCAAATAACTTCAAGATTACCCAAAATCTTTCAGTACCTCCTCACATGGTCTCCTCGCTTTGTTATGACCGGGACCACAACCTAGTAGACTATGGACGAATAGTAACTTAATGCTTTAACTTATCTGTCCTAATCGCAAGTGAAAAACAACAACAATGGTTCTCTAACTAATGTCAGCTCATGATGAAAATCCTGTAACCAATCAAATCCCTACAAGCCAACACTTGAATACCAATAGCATCGCCTGCACACAAAAACACAATGTCCAGACTGGACCTTGATGAGAGAGCTCTTCCTGTCTCAAAGCAACAGTCAGAAAAGATTTACAGCGTTCGCGTATGCATATGTTCAAAATGACGTTGAGGAGCACTAATGCCAGTGATGCACTAAACAGTGGACAACCAGTAGGATTTCAAAGGTCGTAAGTAGAGTTAGAAAAGGTCAGGTGGGGTGAGAGAAACACAAACAGACATGTAAAAGTGACATGTTTGGGTATTAGGTCTATCTATCATCCATGTTACCCACGAACATCCAACCCATCGCTTTTTATTTCTGTTCCACTCGAAGGCGTGGTACGTAATGTTAGAGTATTTTCAATCCGTCTCAACTTCATTATGCATATCTACTGGGTAAAGGGTAGATTCTTGGTTGATTTAGTGCTTGAGACAGTTTTTCTATGTTTCTTATTCGCTCTGGCTCTATCGGCTCTTAAGTAAAGAGTTAATGCAGACATTGATACAACTTTGCACCAACCTCTTGGAAATTCTTTTCTTCACGCTAGTGTCAAGTCTCCGAAAAGTAAGGAGCACTAACTTGACATTAGTGTTAACATTTTTAATACTTTTCCTTGTGTTAAGTTATGTAGACTCCATGCTGATTTCATAACAATAGACGCT